GATCCCAATAGAAACGGAGAAGTCTTTGAAGGGGGGAGGTACTTTTATTGAAAAAAAAAAGGGCAATAAAACTCTACTAAATAAAAACAGTAGATATGACAGATGAGAGATAATTTTTGTAGGAAGAAGTCAAATCAGGGATGACTTTTGCTATCAGAAACATGAGATAGAAAGATAAGATGAATTATAATTTTCTGCCAATGCCACTGGCTAATAAAATCTACATGGCAGGAGGAATGGAGATAAATAAGATTCATAAAAGATGAAGAACAAAGGTAAGTACAGCTATTCCAAACTAGCGTCTTCCAGAGTTCTGAAGATAAGATACTGTTCTGTTCATGGAAAAATGACATATTGTTATACAAAGGTAAAAGAAAGTAAAGTGTAATAAAGCCAAAGCAGTATTACTGACTCCATCTGAGAGGCGTTCTGCCCATAGATTGGTACATTCCAAGACCTCAAACAAAAAAGCTGTGGGGCAATGTCTTTCCTCTAGAAATACCCTAATCATAAGGAAAACAGATGTCAGCGTGTGGACATGAAGTGGGTAGTAGTGCAGGGAAAGGAGAAGGAAGGGAAGAGGCAGAAGAAAAAGACCTTTAAAGGAGCTCATCCTGACACCACCTGGAGGACAGATATTGAACCCTCCAATCCATGAGCAGTCTTGACAGGAGAGAAATTATTTCTATTCATGTTTATAACTTTATATTTGACTTTATTTTTAAGAATACATAGAGCTTGTCATACATATTCTTAAAAATAAAGGGGCAAGTCAACATATGTATGTCAAAATGCTTTAATTCTGTACCATTTTTTACCAATTATTTTTTTTACTTGAAAGTTTTAATATACTATACTTGGGCCAAATTTTCTTACATAAAGGGTACAATTCAAACCATCATGCTTACCTGCTTAGTCTCCAAAAATAGTCATACTTGGGTCTCCCTTAAAGTACCATCCCTAGCTTTTAAAAGGCATTTTAAGCACTCAAAGGAGTTCCACTAGAGGGCACTCAAATCATTTTGGTATCTGATCATAAGATAATACTTTAATATAGAGACACATTAATCTACTTATATATGTGTGTGTGTGTATACATATATTTACAGATATATACACATATGTATATACACACCCATACACACACATGCGCGCGCACGCACACACACACGTTTTTTAATGAAAAAAAGATAGGGATAGATCTCCCTATATAGCTTCATAATCAGTTTCCTGTAGTTATTCTAAATGAAGTGTTTCTTGTGCTTCATGTCTTTTTCCCCCTTTTACTTTTGTCAAAGTGTGTTTTCCCTAGGATAAAATTAAACTGATTCATCTCAATAAAGGTTGCTGTGGTCACTGCTGCTCTATTCACCAACAGACATCCAGCCTATCTCAGTGACAGGCTGTACCAAAAAACTGGCTGCCACTCTCTTTTAAGATTAAGCAGGCAAATGCAGGTAAATCAAGTTGGATACCAGTTTTCTTTTGCTATAGTTAGCCTCAGGTTCACAAATGCAGGGCCCCAGAACAGTCAAAGTAGTATGTAAAGAGTTATATTTCTTGTCTCTGGCTCTAATGTCTCATATCATAGACTAGTTCCCTTTTTTTTTTTAGTCTCCCAGCTTGTTTAAAATTTTCTCTTAAACAATAATAACTGAGTCCTTGCTGCTTTTGCAGATTTCTAAATGATTTTTGCCAACAGTGCTGAGCTCCATGTCTGAGGAGACCCTTGAGAAGAGCTGTGTCATTTCCCTAATCTTTCTACTCTATTTTCTCTCTAGCTGAGACCTTTGTAGAGCCTGGCATCTACCAGGATGAAAGCTGCTAGCTGAATGGAAGCTAGAAGATCTATACATTTTGAGTTTTTGAATTCTGCTACTATTATATGCTGATTAAAACAACGACGACAACAACATACAGGGCTAGCTCCATTGCCTGGTGGTTATGGCAGCCACGTCCCACATCGCTAACTGTTCAGTTTGAGTCCTGGCCCCAGTGGCTGGAGAACCAGGCAGGGCATGTGTGCTTGTGTGACAAAATCCTGAAAGGAGTAAGAAATGGAGAAGGGATTGTGGCATGACCATGCCCCATGAGGGGATACTTTCTCTTTTCCTTGTTTCTCCCTGATGAGTGCACGAGCCCTCTAGCAAAACAAAACAAAACTCCTGTACCAACCACAGAAGTTCTAGGGAACAATAAGCTGACCTCCTTGGTGTGCCAGGCCCTAGGCTTTACTTTGTTCCCCGACGTTATAGGCTGCCAAAAATACCAATGAAAAGTAGCCTAAGGGCAAATGCCTATTCCTTTGCTAGTGTACTCCTACAAATTAGTATGTGTGTGTGTATGTGTTTCAAATTTCTAGCCTCCAAGGACTACCATTACTTTTATGCCTGCTTACCTACACACTGAAAAAAAAAAGGAATTTCTTACATTCTATCAGGCGGTATTCTGTTGGCTAGAAGCGAGGTGAAATGGTCACCATGTAACTGGTGACACCTGAGTGTCATCCAGGTGATATAAAAGAAATAGTTCTTCTAGGGATTCTTTGGCTAAATGGCTAAAATCTACCTGGAAAACATGAAGCATTTGTAACTTGTGGCTTAGGTGTAGCTCTTTCAAAGAAGTATGTTAAAGAAGGACATCGACTGGTGTGATGCATGAACTTGGTGAACTTGACTTTGCTGCTACACTGTTTTTTCTTCATTCACGATGGGAGTACAAGAGAAAGAGGTTGAGGGAGAGAGAGAGATGTGCTCTCCACAGGGTCTAGTCATGCTCTGACACCCCATCCATTGCTCTAATACTGCAGCCTGCTCTCTCTTGGGCACTTGTAGACACATGCCTGGCATGACAAGTCTGAGTGGGTCAGGGACTTGAACCATGGTCACCATGTCATATCTGGCTTCTCCTGAGCAGCACATCACCACTGTATCATAGAGCCAGTCAAACGGTCGATTTTTAAAAATAAAAACTGGGACCAGTAGATGGCATAATAGTTAAGTGGCTGACTCCCATGTAGTCGATCGTAGTTTGAGTGCTGGACCAGGCAGCTTAAAACTCATGCCAGGCATGTGTGGATATGTGCCCAAAATCCTGAGAGGAGAATGGAGGAGAAGGGATTGTTGCATGACCATCCCTTCTGGGGGAGTGATTTTTTGCTTTCTGTCTCTTGTCTCTCTCTGTCTCTCCAGTGAGTGCATGCGCCCTATAGCAAAAATATCTCTTAAAAGATCCATTTATCAATTACTTATATTTAAGAGCATTATATTACCAAGGGATTTTAGGTGATAGAAGAAATCTGTAAGCTTAATTCTGCTATTTTATGTTGATTTTAAATAACAGTAACAGGTGAATAGCATTTTCTATCATTGATTAAGAAAGATATTGCTGTAGTTTGAGTGTGTCTCCTAAAAATTCACACGTTGAAATTTGTTTGCACAAGCAGAGCACAAACATACTATGGTATTAAGAGGGTGGAGGATGACCTAGTCAATGGCATGGTAGTTAAGATGGCCAGATCCCACATGGTTGACTTCATGGTTCGAGTCCCCGACACAGTGGCTTAAAAAACATGCCAGGTACAAGTACATGTGTGTCCAAAGTCCTGAGAGGAGAATGGCGGAGAAGGGACTGTGGCATAGCCATCCCCTTAAGGGGTGATTTCTCACTTTCCCTTTCTATTTCTGTATCTGCCTCTCTCCAGTGAGCACACAAACCTCATATCAAATTAAAAAAAAGGGGAGGGTAGATACTTAAGTCTGATTACGGTATCAAGGGGTGAGGCCTTTGTGTGGTGATTAAGAACTAGATATGGTCATTAGGATGGACACCCATGACTGAATACTGTTGGTCTTATAAGAGAGAGACAGAGAGCGAGTGCAGAGCTGATACTCGTTCTTATTCTTTGCCCCTGTGATACCCTGTGCCCCCGCAGGCACTGTCTCCCCACTAGTGTGAAGACCCTTTCCAGATGTTGCCCCTCAACCTTGGACCTCCACAACCATGAGCTGAATAAACCTTTATTCTTTATGAACTGCCCAGTCTGTGGTATAAAGTTATGGCAACAGAAAAAAAGAACTGAAAACAGCTACCAGGCCAGAAAAGGAGAGAAGAATGTATAGAAAGGGATAATCAGTTAAAAGAGCTACAAGGAGTTGGCACCAGCAGATGGTATAATGGCAATGTCGCTGGACTCCCATGTAGTTGACTGTGGTTCGAGTCCTGGACCTGGTGGCTTAAACTCATGCTGGGCGCATGTGCATGTGTGCCCAAGATCCCGAGAGGAGAATGGATTGCAGCATGGCCATCCCCCCTGGGGGGTGATTTCTTGCTTTCTATCTCTCTGTCTCTCTCTGTCTTTCTGGTGAGCGCACATGCCCTAAAGCTGTAATATTCTTCTAAAATATATAAATACATCAAGAAATAACTCCTAAAGAAAAAAGGGAGACAAAAAGAAGAAAGTTGAATTTGAATTCAAGAAAATTTGCTAGGATGTTAAAATATAAGAATATCTCGAGAAAAATTCAGTCCTTTGTTCCTTTTATGGAAGTTTTCAAAAAGTAATAATCGAAATCTTATAATTCAGTTATTTTTAATAAGTCAGTTAGGTATAATTCTAATGTGGAACATATACGAATGAAACTATTATTTTTGACAAATGTGGTTTGTTCCCCTTAAAGGAGAGTCCTTCCTTACTTTTACGTCATGACTGCCAGATTCAAATCCTGAAACCAAAATTTAACAAAACTAAGAAACTATCAAATAGTTGTTAAAGAGATATTTTTAAAGATCTTTACTGCTTAAAGACCTGTAAGATAAAGTCTTCTAGTGAAGAACTTGTCTGTGGTATAAAGAATTGTGAATTATTGAATTTTCCTTGTTAAGAGAAAAAAGGGAGAAGGAATAAAATGAATGAGAGAAATAAGTGACCCTTATAAGGGCATGTCATGAGGTCCATACAATTCTTTGCCTGGTCCCAGAGTGGTTGCTCAAATACTTACTTTCTCCACATGGCAATGAATGACTGTGATGACACAAATCCCGTCTTTTCTCCCCCTGCAGCCCTGAACATGGGGGCTTTCCAGTAGAGAGGACAGCCACAGACCTGCAAATGAAAACACAGTGTAAGCCAAGATGCAACGAAAAGAAGATAGGGCCTAAGAAAAACCTCTGGCTTTTACCCTTCATGTCACAGTGGATAGAAAAGCCCATGGAAGAACAAAACGAGGTCACAGGCAAACCTATCTACAGTAGATTCACAAAGAGAGAAGGGAAACGAAATAAGAGGATTACATGTTTAATGAAGATGGAAACCACTGACCTTTTCTCCATATTCATTTATATCGACCCCCCTCCCCATTTTGATAAAGCGCCAGCATCCTATACTACCACTCTCACAGCATATATTTTCTTTTAAAAAATAATTATTTGATTTTATTCATCATTATTTATAATTTGACCAGACAGAGAGAGGGGGAGGAGAGAGAGAGAAAGTGACAAAGCAAGCAGTCAGGTCTAGGACTCGAATCACAGCCGACCATATGGGAATCCAGAGCCTTAACCACCACACCACCTGCTGGCCCCACATCATGTATTTTATATCTTCGAGAAGAAATGAAATGACTGAATATCATGGTTATAGATGTCTTTCATTCCTTGAGCAGAAAAACAGAACCACCTTTATTACTTGGTCAGTGGATATTAATATATTCTACTTTTGCCTGTTATGTTATTAAATTCCTCAAGAAGAACCAAAAATTCTAGATGTTTGAGAAAATTGCTATCATATCTATTTAAATGGTTACAATTCAGGTAAAAATCAAAATGCTGTAATTTACTTGTATTTTAGATGCTACCACAAATTACTGCATTATTATAAAAGCTTTAGGAAAAAATGGAACTGAATATAAACTAACTTCAGGATCCTAAAAGGTACTGATTTTTTCTTCTTCAATAAAAAGCTTTTCTATTCAATTAAAATAAAATTATCCTTTCGCCTTTCTGCGCTACCCACATAGGGTCCATATGGCGTTGTTCTGTATTCTTGATGTAACTTAAAAGAAAACTTTCATAATGACCGGAGTCCTTGACGTCTTGCAAATGGAGGAGGATGTCCTCAAATTCCCTGCAGCAGGAAGCCACTTGGGTGGCACCAACCTTGACTTCCAAAGGGAGAAGTGATGGCATCTACATCATACGTCTAAAGGGGACCTGTGAGAAGCTTCTGTTAGCAGCTCATGCCATTGCTGCTGTTGAAAATCTTTCTGATGTCAGTGTCCTATCTCCCAGGAACACTGGACAGAGGGCTGTGCTGATGTTTGCTGCTGCCACTGGAGCCACTTTTATTGCTGGCTGCTTCACTCCTGGAACCTTCACTAACCAGATCCAGGCAGCCTTCGGGAGTGGCGTTTTCTGGTGGTTAGTGATCCCAGTAAACCACCAGCCTCTCTCAGAGGCATCTTATGTTGATCTATCTACCATTACTCTGTGTAACAGATTCTCCAATGCACTGTGGGGACATTCTCATCCCGTGCAACAAGGGAGCTCACTCAGTGCGGCTGATGTGGTGGATGCTGGCCAGGGAAATTGTGTGTGTGTGCGTGGCACCATCTCCCATGAACATCCATGGGAGATCACGGCTGATCTCTGCTTCTACAGAGATCCTGAACAGGAGAAAAAGCCACTGCTGACAAGGTTGTGTCCAAGGAAGAATTTCAGGGTGAATGGACTGCTCCAGCTCCTGAGTTTACCGCTACTCAGTCTGAGGTCGCAGGCTGGCCAGAAGGCGCAATGCAGGTGTTCTCTGTGCCCACCCGGCAGTTCCCTACAAAAGCCTGAAGTGCTCAGCCTGCCACTGAAGACTGGTCTGCAGTCCACACTGTTCAAGCCATTGAATGGGAGGGAACAACCACTGAGTGTTCTTAAACTATTCTTCCATAGACCTTATACAAAATAGAAATAAGGCTAATAAAGAAAAAACAATAGTTTCTAAAACAAAATATTCTTTTATAAGAAAGAGTTCTTAACTAAATTTACCTGCTTTTCTCCTAGTGGAAAATTCTTCCCTATAAGTAATAATATCATCTAAATATTGGTAGAGGAAATAGTCTCCAAATCTTCCCAATTTTGTACCTACACAGAAAACAATGCCAAATCTGAAACTCTTCAAAGAGACATGTTTTGTTATGAAATAAAGATACTCTTATTAGGTACAAGAGCCTTCACTATTCTACAGAAGGAAGCTATTCCTTTTCAGGTAGACTAGATATGTATCCACACTGGATTCAGGAGAAGCTGCCCTTGGTGTGAGGCCCCAGTGCGTGGAGGGTCACATAGGAGTATAAGAGTACCTAGTCTGACATTAGTTATCCTGACAGAACGCCCAAGGTTGCTTGCTGGGCTCCTGCCAGGGATGAGGACACAGAAGAGGAGGATCAAACCAAAGGAGGTTAGGACATGGCAGAAACAGGAAGTTGCTGCTGCCAGGGTCACTACAGTATGTTCTATAAGCAAGGTAGAATTTAAGGTTTTTTAAGTCCATAGGTTAAATACTTCTACTGAGGTTAAGAATGAGGGAAGGGTTTGCTTAGCAATCATGTGATTTGGTTTATTGTATAGATTGACTGCCAAGATACAAAGTCCATCATTAATATACTTTGGATATGGAGCCGCAGCCGCGGTGCCCG